ATCACTGATTAATCAGTGATGGGAACCCTCACCATGCTTGTCTCGTGAGCTTGATCAAAGATCTCGCGAGCTTTTGCGAGAACGTCCGACAGCGAGGGTGCTGTTATCTTCTGCCGGCGATCGTGGATGAGAAGCCCTTCCTGGCTGTGCTGCACGTTGTGTAGACTCATCAGCTGAGGTTCGTACGTGAAGCGTCTGTGCTTCCACTCACCCGATGCCTCGTTGACGGTGTACTATAAGGCGAGGAGGTAAACATGTAGGGCCTCTATCCATCTACCTACCTACCTACCTACCTACCTACCTATTTATCTATCTATCTATCTGTCTATCTATCTATCTATCTATCTATCTATCTATCTATCTATCTATCTATCTATCTATCTACCTATCTACCTATCTACCTATCTACCTATCTACCTACCTACTTACCTATTTATCTATCTATCTATCTATCTATCTATCTATCTATCTATCTATCTATCTATCTATCTATCTATCTATCTATCTATCTAGCTCGCTATCTTTGCCCCGTGGGTATCTCCCTTTCTCTCGCTTTTTGTCTCTCAATCACCAATGCCATCTCACAGTAGCTCCCAGTTTTACAGTGATGGTTCTTGCTGCTCAGACAGGCGCATGAATTGAGCAGCTGATTGCGCGCTCTCTCTCTCTCTTCTCATAGAATAATAATAATTTGATATCCGCTCGCTCTTGAATTCAGTAATACACCAGAATGATATAACACGATTTTGTCTGTATTCGAGAAGGGTAGTTATGATTGCCACCTGCCCAAAAATATGCTTGAAACAATTTTAAACCCGATATCGACGTACAATGTTTGCAATATTAGCAAGAGTGTCATAATATAGACACTAATAATTATAGTCCTTAATCTATATTATCACACTCCTGATATTATTGCATCTATCGTTGATGTAAGATTCATATAAGCGGTAGCGTCACAGAGACTTGAGACAGTATGGCGGGACCCCCTTCACTCCTCCCCTTGTAAGTGACTCCATTGTACTTCGAACAACAATACGAAACATGCCCGTGTCTAATATAAACAGCTAATTAAGTTACAGTGAAGACGAGCATTTCTGACCACCATACGTTGTACGCAACGCATTAGCGTAAAAGGAATACATAGAATGTTATCTATCTAACAGATTTTCTTAGATCCCTCAGAGATTTTGTTAAAAGCCGGACTTTGTTCGTGTTTGTTTATACACACTTTGTTAGTAACACTAATGCAAAATTTATTTAAAGTAGAATAGTATATATACTTGCGATTGTCAGCGTAAACTATTAGGGTTGTAGACACAATGTGAACGTGTAGTATCTTTTAGGTACATGCTAGTGTGCTACATGCTAAATTTCGCATTTCCTTTACAAACGTTGAATACCCCCTTCATTTTACTGAAACTCTATAATAAACTGCATGGGAACATGCAGTGATGAATGCATATTTTTTATATATCCACCACAAATTTTGCCAGTTGTGATCCTCACCTATGGCCCGTTGCCAGAAACATCGTTAAATCGGCTAATTTTACGACCACTTTTGTTTCTAACAACGGGTCAGTAGTACGCTATTTGTTCTAACGGTGCTACATTACGAATACCGCGATGAAGGTTTAACTCACGTAGTTGTATGGCTTGCAGGGTTAGTGTTGATCAAGTGCTGTCTGGTCTATGTAACATTGGGATCTGGCAAGTATAACAGTGAAATCATCAGTAAACAAGTAAATTGTATGCGGGTATAAGATTTCACAGTCAGAATGCGAAATCTAAAACTGAATAAAGGTTATTATGTGGATATTTTCCTGCCACCCCGTTCGTGCCTGCTTCCCACATAATCATCGCACATAACGAGTCATATTTAAGCTGTATGTGCCAATAGTGACCGCGTGTCACTATCAAAATAAAAATGAAAGCAATCCTATTAAAAAATAATTTTTTTTATGAATATGGATAGTTTATCTAAGCGCGTTCACAAAGATACAATTCACTTGATCTGTAACACTATTTCTGTTAAACTGTGAGACATGTAAATTATTGATAATACATTTCAGGGTTTGTCGATAGGTTGCGCGCGTACGTGCACGATGGCACCCCAATGCTCTCATGATTCCGCCATGTTAGCTTTGATGTCTCTGTGGAATTAGCATCGCATGTATTATTAATATCTCGCTATCGATTTAATATACCAGCAGCTGAGCCATCACGTGGCGCTGGTGCAGCTTGCTGTTATCCCGAAGGCCTAAATAGATAAATACAAACATTTCTAACACAATAGGTTGACTGATTGCTACATACTGAATATCTAATGTATTTTCGATCACGATTAAATGCGCTGGATAGTACACTACTTATCTGTATGTTTGCTTGAAAACCTTAACGATAGCCGAACTAGCAACGAATCTGTTGCTCAAAGCTATACACGAATAGACACTACAGTATTAAAATACCGTTTCCGTATCTTTCCTTTATTCTACCAATTTAAATTGCCCGAAAGCCTGTAAACACCATGAGGTTATAAAATGGGTCAATGATGCCCAGGAGGATATGTGTATGCGCGCCTTTTAAATTATATGCTTCTACTGGGCCTCATTACTCTCCGGTATATGCAAGCATAAATAACGTCCATATGAAGCGTTGTAGCGGGTGATTCATCGTCTAAAATATTTGCTGTGAACAATATAAAAGTACGAGGGTTAGAAGTGTGTCTAAGTATGTGAAACTTTATTAAGGCTGACTTATACCGGACCGTACGGTATACCGGAACGTACCCTGGTAACTATTTACCTCGCCTACCGTACCTCGCCTACTCCACTAACGAGTCTAGGGAGTCGCCTACGCCTACTCCCTAACCATAACTCTAACCCTAACCATATCAAATAGTTACCAGGGTACGTTCCGGTATACTGGACCGTACCCAGGGTACGTTCCGGCAGTACCCAGGGAGACATAGACCCTATGAGCCGTAGGCTTAAATAAATAAATAAATTTATTTATTTATATATGATGATATGAATACCTGAATAAACTTTGGTGTAAGTTACGCAGTACATACATCTCGGTGGTACATGCAATTAGTAAAATTAACCATTTTTTTAAGGTGCGCGTGATAGATACAAAAGGTATACCTACTCGATATGTTTGCTCTCCTATTTTAAAGCCAATATTTGGCTAGTTACTTATTTGGATTTTGACATTAATGATTTACATAATGATCTGGAGAAGGGAATTGTCGCATAATAGGCAGGCAATTTATTTTTGTATTGCCAACGCCCAAGCTATTTTCGTGCTAGTTTCCCATCAGCGTTCTCAACGCATATATTGCCGTATGTTAACGACTGGACTCAGCCTGCCAACAAAATTTACACCAGAGAAAATTGATCTATAAAACGACTGCACAATACGTACATGCGAAATTTTATACAACATATAGTAAATATTGAATAAAGTAAACGCACACTCATATGCTTATGTTATTTTACATGGACTTCCGTTTTCAACGAAAGAGATGCATACAATACTACATGCATACCTACACCGTATGATCTCAATCTACGCATTAAATCACACGCTTATCGCGCTTATGTAATAAACGCATGTCTAAGTACCTCATAATGGCGTGTGAAGCATGCACCTTAATCAGCGCATTCTAGATGGGCTATGCGAGGTGAGCTAATCACCACTGCGCTGGCAACGCCTAATTGGATCATTGATGGCATCTCGTTGTCATACGTATCGTATAGGTTTGCTGTTGTCGCGGCCGGGTTTAGAAGGATAACCGAATAATCGCCGAAAACATTGCTAACAACAGAGTTATTGCTATTGACGTCTTCTTTGCGTGTACTCTTGTTATAAGGAATATTGTGGGAAGACGACTGTGGAAACAAATTCGTGAACAGCAATCGATCACGCGAGTCACGTCTCAACAAACAAAAATGTAGTCCGCGGTTTCTAATTCCAACGCAACGAACCGCAATTAACTACCGATTAAATGAGCGATTATTTCTCGCGGGTTGTCCTGTTAAATAGACCATTCCATAAACTAACCGTCGTTAGACGTCCCGCTGTAGCTGTAACGACGGTTAGTCCATGGTCCACGCACCGCATTACCTAATACCAACAATATTGTTAACGCCTCGATGGAATGTTAAAAAACAAGTATTGACGATTTTCTCTCCTTTTTTCAACAATTTCAGATACCTGCTTCTGCTTGGCGAACGCGCAGGTCGTTGATTATCCAATCGTCTACTGCAATGAGGGCTTCAGCAAACTATCCGGTTACCAGCGAGCCGAGGTCATGCAGCAGTCATGTAGCTGCATATTCATGACGGTGTGTCATACAACCACTCGCGAATAGGGAAGCATGTATAGCAAACGGCACCTCAAGCGCGACTTTGGTTGATTATCTATACAGTTTATATAGAGCCTCTTAGCATTGGTGGAGGCCGAAGTCTTTAGTTGTTGATTTTCCGGTGCCCAATATGATGATAATTCTAGATAGTTCTTGCGACATATAACTAGGAACGAAATTACATTCTCGTAATATTTCAGCAGTAGAACTGAAAGTATATTGATAAATATGTTTACTAATTTTGTAACTGAATCGGACGACATGTTTCGCTTCCGCAAAAAGATGTTGATTCACACTCACAGGGGTGTAGACCAGGGACCAGGGGGTCGAGATCAAAGAGAGATCAGCGTTATTATACAATACATCTATGATAAAAACAATTAGAAAAACAGTTAATTAAACAAAGAAATATTTTTAATTGGACACATAATAAAGCAATTATTTGTAATTAATGCGCAATCTTCATTCAATTAGTGATATCATTTGAAATCCGATTTATCGCACGTATTTGTTCCCTGGTTGTTGTCTATGTTCTCGTGCCTCTTACAGGGGGAGCTGACCGATCCAGAAACTATGAAGTCAATAACACAGTGCCTTGACAGTCAACAGCAGGATCAGTTTGAAATACTTCTATACAAGAAAAACAGTGAGTATATACGTTATAGCCATGTGGTATCGCGCCGTCCTGGTAGTTTTCGGGAAAATTTATTGCTGGTAATTTTAATCGCATTATATATTTTCTTTTGTAAGCTACCAAGCGCGTTATTGTTGCGTTACAGTCACGTGCTTTATAGCTCTAATCCATAAAACTTACATACTGTATATAATATATATATATATATATATATATATTGTATAATTTCACTTATCCACGAGAAATAATGCGATAAATTTCGTATTTGTAACTTCGTAATTATTAATTGAATAAAATACGAAAGTGCATTGTTTACTAAACGCCCAGGTAGCGTAGCTTAGCAACAATACGAATAAACGTAGATATTAGATTATGTAAAGATGCGAGTGTACGGCGTCGCTAGGTGAGAGTAGAAGCAACATTTTAACCGCATGACGTCCGTTACATTACGTCGTTACGTAACGTCCGTTAACATTACATAACATTACCACGTCGTTACAGTAACGTCCGTTACATTACATGACGTCCGTTACATTATTTCTTTTCGTAATTCGAACGCACGTACACACGCGCGCCCACACACACACACACACACACACACACACACACACACACACACACACACACACACACACACACACACACACACACACATACACACCATACACACATACAACACATGCAAACATATATTTCATATTTCATTTTTATTCGTAAGCCTCTGGAATAGACGCAAGTTACGTTCAGCGCTATTATTAATCGACATAAAAGATGGCCTCCTTTCTCGTATGTTAGATACACGTGCTGAGTGGATAGCGATATACTTGTTAAGCGTGAACCCAAAATGTACATTTTGAATCCTATCAGCAGGCGAAAATTTCGGGTGAGCTACGTAGACGTGACGCCGATTTTAGTTTGGTCAACGGTGATTATAACCAACTCGGAATTCACAATGATCAACTTGATGATCAATCGATGATCCATCCATCTCAATGATCAATCGATTTAACTCGATCAAACGGAGTCATAAAACAGACAT